TTCACATTAATTAAATTAAATTTAGATGATAAATATAGTTGTCTACAGTGGTTTCAAGAGGTAAAGTGTTGACATAATAAAAGTTAACATTTTCATACACTGAAAATGTGTTTCCGATTGGCACTTACCTTCCTAACTCAAAGCTATCTCGATCTTCTTTCTGCTCCCTAACCATTGCTAAAAAATTTTAACATTCAGAGCACAAATCTATATACCCCACAAATTTCGTGCCACTTTTCCATGTGTGTATATAAAATGTGACCACCCTCCTCCACCTATATTGACACAGCTAGCTCCCTCTGATGTTCCCACTCAATACTCACTTTCAAGAATTGGCAGGATCTAAAATGAATAACATCAGCAGTGGGGAGGAATGGTGGGAAGTGTGTGTGAGAGAGGTAAGCACTCATCAGAAATAAATTATCAGTGTAAGAAAATGTTACTTTCTGATATGGTCTTAACTCACACAAAGCTAGAATCTCACATTGAAAAGGTGGAAGGGCCTGTGTAGGCACCTAACAGTGAAACCAAGTGGAAAATGACCACCTAAAAATAAATGGTGTGCTAAAAGCCAAAACAAAAGTGCAAGTGCAGGGCATCATACCACTTCTGGAACAGGTATGCTTTTCACCCTGTAAGAAGGAAATGAATCTAACATGGGTAGAAAAAAAAAATGTGCACAAACTTATTTTGTTCTGAGAGGTGCAGGTCATTGTAAAAAATGGAGTGAGTTCAAAATCTCCTCCATCACACAAACCAGACTGGAAACCAGCCAGCTCCCATAGGTGAAGAACTGCTCTATCAAACAAAAACTGGAAACGAACTTGATACCCACATGAGGAGAAATGGAAAATCAATGTAAAGTTTGCCAAAATATAATGATGGAGAAAAACAACTAGCCTGGGCTATGTAACTACCCAACCTCTTAGGAGGTTGAGAATCACCCAGATAAAAAGAAATTAGAGTAACATAAACATTGTGGTTAGTGCATGTGGACCGTGTGATATGCACATACTAACCCTAACCGTAAAAAAACTGTGATATGTCAAGCAACTGGAATTACAAAGAGAAAGTTAGCATTCAGCAAAAACCAAACTCCCAAAGCCACCACAGGAGCAAGAAGTACAATAAACTGAACCTAGCATTACAGGGTCATGTCATTGCCTCAACTATACTGTAAGAACAAGGTAATACCTGTAACTGATATTAAGAGCAGAAATCATAACTCACTCAACCGTAAATGCAGGGAAGACACATCCTGCACCTGGAATTATAAGGAGAATACACTGTTCCTATGGTTAAACAAATGTTCCACACATACATCCTGTTGCCAGTATTATGAGGCAGATAAAGTTCCCTAATTAAAGAAAAGGGGCCTCTATTGCACTGTACTATGAGAACAGGGCAGTATCATCCTGAACTCAGTATTATGAGGAGGATCCCATGTAGGCTGGTCCTACTTCAACCAACAATTTGTCCACCTGGGAATAACCATCCAGGGGAAAGGGAAGGAGGGAACCCAGCTTTGCCCTCTTTTCACTGAGTGGATAAATGTGTGTTTACATTGTAAGGTAAGTTTCTACTTCATGCTCAGAAGGTATCCTCCTTGGTCTACCACTTCAGTGACTGGGAACTGGAAGTGGTAAGGACTACCGTGCTCCACTTAGAGAAAAAAAAAAGGGGGGGGAGTAAATGCAGTGGGGAGTCTGGAGGAATGTCACACTGGAGATAGTGCAATGGGTGCCTATGATTCCCTATCTTGAAGAGCAGATCGTCCCCAATTTATGCAATCAAAGGGTTGGCAGTGAAGGGCAGAAATCCTCTATTGCTTTACTCATGATAGTCCATGAGTGAAGGTTCACCATTGAGTTAAACTTATGAATACCTACAGACACATAAATATATGCGATTAGTGGTCTTGCAGTACACTCCCATCTCTACAGTAAGCATTATAACTACTGGCATATTGTGCAGGTTTGAGTAAAAGCACACCTGACCAGGCAATGTTTGACACAGAGTGGGATCCTATGAGTAGTGGTATAAAAGGGTCCCTGAAAAGAAAACATAAATGAAATGTTGTGAGAATACATACCCAAGTCGAAGGCAAATGGTTGTGTGTAGAATTGCCACAGGAGGAAGACAATATCCACCTGAGAAAGATACAGCCAGATAGTGCAGGTAATGAGCAACAAAGGAATAGTGAGTAGTCCACCTTCTGGTCTGAACAATTTCTTACCAACGAATGGCACAGACAAGCAGCCAAAGAGATGGTGATATGACAAGTTTGATGGAAAGAAACAATGAGAAGATGGCAACCTTCCGTAGATAAGTCTGAATACGTCAGCCTAAGGAGTTGACAAACCCAACAAGTTAGTGTAACAGGGGATAGATAATGGGAAACAAATGGAATAAAAGGTCAGGAAAATGAACCCTGAAAGAAGGCAGTATGTGCCACATAACACCAAAGGGAGTGAACCTGACAAGGAAGTTGATCAGGATTTGAATAGAAGTACAGGTGAGAGATGAAAGGTAAAAAAATGGGTGTGAAAGCCAAGTGGCCTCCCTGGGCAACAGAGGTCTTAGGGAGGAAGGAACAGTCTGGACATAGGATGACATAAGAGGAATAGTGGGAGATGGAAGGTAAAGAAATTAGTGCGAAAGCCAAATGGGCTTTGTGGGCAACAGATGTCTTAGAGTGGAAGAGCTAGTCTGGACAAAGGATGACATAAGAGGAATGGTAGAGGATTCTGGTGACATTAATAGCATAAAAATCTGATTGACAATGTCCACAAGCTAGGAGGAAAAGGAAAAAGATAACATACCACATAGCTGATTAACCAGCTGTAAAAAAAAAAGGTGTAGAGTGTGGCAGACCAAAATAAGAAGGTGCCAGTAAAAGTGAATCGAATTTTCATCTTCATGATAGTATTCATCCTCAGAAACACTGTCAGGTTGAAAATGAGTAGAAATTGCCAGCCAAACATAGGAATCTAATTCCCTGGAAACTAAGGCCTGTATGTCTTCAGCAGATAAAGTTGAACCCAATGTCTGGGTAGTCATAGCAGAAGGACTATCTACCGTAATGGGAATTTCCATTGTTGGTACATTGAATCACGAAGTCATTCTATGTTACCATATAAACAAATGCAAACAAAAATTTAAACAATTGAATGTAAACACAGTAAAAGAAAACTGTTGAAAAATGTAGTGAAATGTCAATGAAGTACAATTGTAAACGGTAGTCACATAGGAAAAACATGTCTAAACAATGCTTTGCCAATATAGGTAGTACAATATTACTGATGGAGGGTGGTCACATGCTATATACATGTTCAAAAGTGGTACAAAATTTGTGGGGTATATAGACTGGTGCACTAAGCATTAAAATTTTTTAACAATGCTTAGGGGGCAGAATGAAGATCAAGATAGCTCTGTGTAAGAAGGAGTTTAGATTGTATTGGAATTATCAATTGACAAGCACATCTTAGAAATATGCAAAAATGATAACACAATGTACGTAAGGAATGTAGAAATAGTTCACAGATGCGCAACCTATGAACTTAATTTTGACTTTTTAATAACAGAAGAAAAAGGAGTTTAAAAATTAAATGTCCAAAATGAATCTTCAATTGAAAAGTGTGGTTCTATCCACTTAACCCCATTTGGTCATTGGAACAAAAACAAATCTGAGTCGCATATGGAGCTGGTTGCATGCAGTACTTCAAAGTTACGCAAAGAAATACTACATTCACAAAACTGATCATTTTTATAAAGAAAGCATTTGGAGCAATAAGACTCATCTCGTCAATCAGAAATCTCAAAATATTCCACAATGCCTGACATGGAAGAAGTACCATTCTCATCACAAAGGTGGTTTGCAATTTCATTAGGTTCGTCTAATTGAGAGATGGTACATGTTATCTGAGGCTGTTCCATTGTATAAACAGAACCTCTGTTGAATGTTGTGTAAGTAAATTGCTTGGCATCTGGAAGCAACATACTCTTAATTTGTTTCATGGACAGTGGCATACAATGGTAAGAGTGTTCCACTGAACTTATCATTGTATCATTAGTACATTCTAATGGGGTTAAAGTGTTCTTGAAGTACTCGGATGAAAACTTTTCACTTGCTGCTTCTTCCATTAACAATGATATATTGTAATCATAATGTTTCATCATCCCCAGCATACATTTATTAGAATGTATAAATTTCAAAGATGGAAGCTTGTTATTATCAATACAATTCATAGATGTTGACAAGCTGTTATAAAGACATTCATTAGTTGTTTGCTCAATGTTTTCACTTTTTTCCTTTTTGATAATGCTTAACTGGTCACCACTGAAATCTGGAAGACTTGAAGATGATACCTGATGTGGTGTCTTAAACAGCAATACTGGAACTGGCAACATAGAAAATGTTTTGGAAATGGCATACTGATGATCAAGATCAACAGCACGTCTATTTGCCAAAGCAGAGAACACCTCAGGATACTGTGTGACTGTAGTAGTGTTTGTTGGCTCAAAATCTATCCCATGAGTTAAATCTGTTTGTATGCTAGATCCCTGTGTGCTCTTGACTCAATGATGCCTATTAATAAAAACAAAATAAGTTTGAAAAAGTCTTCTGTAAGCCTTGAATAAGGAAAAAAATACTCAGAATAAGATATTTTAAATATAATGACAGAACTAAGAGACAATATTAGTATTCTAACACATCTTTTCTTATGAAAAAACTATTGTAAAACAGGTAAAATTTACTTTTAATAAACTCAGAAATGAAAATTAAATCACACAATTGACTCTGTACACATTTATAAAATGTAATTTTTCTTAAAAGATCCTCATTCATTTTTTCTATTACAAATCAAAATACAACCACAGTGTATAAACTAAGCTTAAAAGTTTAATTTGAAAAGATCATTTATTTTTTGGAAAATGATTAAATCAATACCAATGATATGACTGTCAGCTTGAGCTGTAAAGATTCCAAAAACACTCAGTAAAAAAAATTAATAACATTTATTGGCAAGAAGTTATTTTACTGTGCAACTGATTGTAAGGTAATGCTCAACTCTATAGCAGTAAACAAAATTGTTTAAAGTACATTTAGTACTTTTTTATAGATAGATATCATTTTACTTTGAAACTGATTCTAAAACAGCATTTGCCCTTAAAGCTGAAAACAAAACCCCTGAAAATTGATTTAGTATAATTTACTGACAAAAAACATTTTACTCTGAAACTGATTCTATGAAAGTTCTTACTCTTACTAATGAGTTTAATAGCTAGCAGTAAACATGTTTACAGAAACAGTTTAATTTGAACAAAACAGCAAAAGTTGATGATCTGATAATACAGTTGTAAGAACTAAGAATACCCTTTCAAAAGATGAATTTTAACCAGACAAGTTGACGGTGAAAGAAACCAGATTAGAGACAATTAGATATTCATTTCATTGGTATTTCATGATATTTTGCCAAATCACAGATGTCATTAATTGGATTCTAGGTTTAAAATAATGTGAGGAAATAAATTATCTGACTTGCTTCCACTCCTTTTCTACCATGAATTTATCAAAGACTGAGTCATTGAGGGGAACTTTAAAATGCTTATAAAGAGCACCAAGTTACTCTTCCCCTTAGCTCATCAAAGAATGTAAAACTGGGGATCAAGCCACTCCAATGAACTGTAAACAAAATTTTCAAAATCTTCAAGATGATAGTTCAGTGTGGAAATGAAGAACTCTGCCATATATTTCAGCTTTGTTCCTGCAGTATGGATAGATTGGTCACTGAAAACAACATTTTTAGTTATTATGAGAACATAATCAAAATTTGACATCACAAATTTTTTTCCTAATGCAACCCAAAATGCCTGGACTTGTAAGGGTTAACTTTGTTGCCTTTTGGTCCTTTTGTAGCCAATCTGAGCAGTTTAAGCACCTTTTATAAAAATACTATACACAAACTAACTCACTAAAATTTTAACCTGCATGTCATGGATTGGCACAGCTTATAAAAACCAAAATTAAGCCATGCTGAGCCATAACATCATATATACTTCTTTCAGTCAAACATTAATGTACATGCAAATATGGCATATGAAGCAAGGAGTTCAAGATTTTACAAAATGATTAAAATGAGTAGTGCTGCACAGCACTAAAAATTATGATAGTTCAGCTCAGTAAAGCACAGCTTATAATATAGGCCTTAGGGGTGTGATCTACCAAGCTCCATGCCTGTGATGAAGGAATGTGTTGGAGTATGGATTTGAAGAAGTTTCTTTTCAGGTAAGACCTTAAATATGGTGTTTAATGAGATTATATTAATTCTTTTTATTCTAAATGTTCAGTATTCAATAACCTTCTTTACCTTCTGCAAAGACCTCGAGGAATTATCCTGGCTTCCCTGCCCTCTCAATGGGCACGGGGAGTAGTAATATACCCAGCAAAAGTCAAGTTAACTTTATCTCGGTTTAACTAACACCTACTGATATTGAACTTGGAGTGAATGTTCTTGAAAAGTTGGTATACATAATACTAGTAATCATACTATAATTTTGCTTGTCAGTATACAATATAAGCATGCACAATAAGAATTGTACCCAAGAAAAATCATGCAGGCACATTATGTGCTTGACAATAACCAGCTTGCCTACCAGTGATGGAGAGCTGCAAAACTGAGTGAGTATGTCACTAGAACTGCTCTATGAAGAAATAACAAAAAAAAATCTAAATATACTTTACTGACCATTTTGTACAACATTAAGGTCTTAAAGTTTTCAAAATGATCTGATTTAGGTCATAGAATAACATTAAAAGTTTATCGATAGTATTAAGTACAGTAAAGTTTAGTCCTAACTATACTAATGTTAAAAATGTACACACCTTACAAGTCTAAGACAAGTGGACTTGCACATTTCAGTGTCTATGATTACAATTCATTTGTATTATTCTAGAAATCTTGTATATTTAATAAAGTACTATTGCAGTAAAGATACTAATTTCACACAAATGTTTTGTGGGTCTCTGCTAGTAAAAATAAAAATTATGTAAAAGTTTTGTTATTCGAAGTTTTTTAACATTCTATATTAGAAACAAAGAAAAATAAATTCTTATTTTTAGTATATCTATAAAAAATCATAAGACCTTGTGATTTTTTTTATTAAGTGTAACGAATTTAAATGAAAAAATGTATATTTTTACTTTAATGCCCCTGAAAGAAAAAAAGAAAGAAATAATTATGCATAAATGACATAAGGAAAATCTTTCATTTAGTTGAAAGAGTGTAACAGATGAAAGTTATGAATCCTCAGGTAATCCTAATGTGTCTAGTGACCAAACTGGTTCAGAGATTAATGAAGGAACTATCAACCTATAGAAAATTAAAGTTTTCCAAATCCATAGCCAACAGATTTCTCTCTCCTGTTTCAACATAATTTTAGAAATAGGGCATCTTATAAAGCCTGTATAGGAGAGTTTGCAAAGTTCTTGTACAGAAAGAAATGAGTTAGAAAACACACTAAAATGTAAGAAACTAAAGAAAAATCAATAGCTCTTTGCAGTTTCATTTCTTAGTTTATTCTCTATTGTTTTTCTGTAAATCATTAAAAAGTTATACTGAAACTTAAAACTCCAATACTATGCATTAAAGTTTTGCCTGTCTCACAAATTGCAATGCTTGTTCTAAGCATAACATGCATATAAATAAAAGTTCTGAGATACAGCTTATGTGAGGATTGTTTATTTTTATTTCTTGTTTAGGTGTTTTTTAATAATTTAACCAAATTAAAAGAACTCTAAAAAAAACTTAACTAATGTTATGAAAGATAAAATGACATCACAGAAGACATGTACAATAACTTAAGAGTTGTAAATCATGTACCCCTTGTTTGTTTGGTGCTCCAAAGGTTCAGAAAAACTCTAGTGACAAATGTCACTTCCATAAACATACTGTCACTATAACTTTAGTTAAATATTAAAAAAACTTAATAACATAAAAATAAAGAAAAAAAACATAAACTCTATAAAGGAAAGAAAATACACAAATGGAGACATTAATAGGTGTCTTACCATATCATGGCTACATAACCAAAAACATCATAAACATTTGGAAACAAGCATAAAAACAAAATACAATATAAACAGCAAAAACCAGCACTAAAATCAAAGTTAATATTTTCCTGTACTGAAAATATATTTCTGATAGGTACTTGAACTCCCATGTACCCCATGATCAAAATGGTTCAACTGCACCTCGCATGTAAATTATCATGCAACAACTCTCCACCAACAGGAGTGCAACACACCCTCCTAACAAATGATATTACCTATTTTCAATTCTACCAAACTATCACTTCGAGATTAGGCAGAAAAGCATCATTTTTCAATGGGGAGGAAGGGTGGGAAATGTAAGAGAGAGTAAGTATCTATTGGAAATATATTTTCAGTATAGGAAAATAATAACTGCAAATTGGTACATTACCTACACTCACATGTATAGCTAGAATCCCACATTAAATAGGCAAAGACAGCAGTGTGAGGGATAACAAATAAGTAACGAATGAAAGCATCTGAAGAACACTCGTGAAGTGTGATTCCTGTTGGGAGAGAACATACTTAGGATACCACACCACTTCTGTACCAGGTATATTCAGCATCCAGTGTAAAAATAGGTGTCACATACACAGGTTGAAAGTGGAAGGAGAACAACCAAAAAGGGAGAGCCAACCAGTTGGGTCAGAATCCGATTCACAGTATATAGGTAGCTCAAACCTATAGAAGAAAGTCTGTAGAAGAACCATCTAAAGACAGGAATATGGGGAAAGTAAAAATGGAAGTGCTCCAAGGTGTAGAGTGGCTAGGGCCCAATGGACCATACACCACTGGTCAACTCCAGTACAAAACCAAGCAGTACCAGGAATAGAACTTCTGACTCATGGTAGGAGAAGGGTCCATACTGTTTTCTCCTCAAGTTAAGTAGAATTGAAGGATATACTGTGCAAACCAGTCTATGAAATGGACACATGCGCAAATTCACATCCAGGAACCCAACAAACGATTGATGGTAGGAAGAGATGTGCCTATGTGGCAGGTCACATCAAACTCAAACAGACAGACACTCCACATCAACCTCAAGCACTGAAAACACTCTGAGGTGGAGCGCAAGATGAAGAACCGTCACCCCGATCAACATGATCCTCCGGATAGGACCACACAGAAGCCAAAGCCACAACATCATTCTCTGGGTACCACTGCATGGAAGTGGATCATCTCTTGAAATATATAGCAATCATACTTTCTGGATAGAACCAGTAATTGGGTTCAACATCAACCTCCAGGACTCTTGCAAGGAGGTGGAGATCATGAGGCAAATTCAGTGAGGCAAAAGTAACACAACCAACACATGTGTGAGGATTTCTTGATTGATCCAGCTCTAATCCAAAACCTCTCACTGTGAACTGACATCCAGGTGATGGTAAGATGAGGGATCTCAATCGAAGGGGTGAACTCCAATGTGATGGATCTACTCCAAAGCAGCAGCATCCTCCAGATAGGACCACACAAAGGCTGGAGCACAAGAACAACCTCTGAATTCCACCTCACAGAAGTGGATTGCATCTATAAAATATAAGCAGCCTCACCCTTTGGATAGAACTGCATAGAAACTGTGCACAATATCAACTTCTGGGACCTACTGCCCGGAGCAACATCGTCCCCCAAAACGTCACCCTCTGGATCCCACTGCAAAGATGTGGATCGCATCTAGAAAACATAAGCAACCTCACCCTCTGGATAGAACCACACAGAAGCTGGGTGCAACATCAACTTCCTGGACCCACCGCATAGAGATGCAAAGCATGATTAGAGGATCACATGCCATCTACAACAGCAGAACACCACCACCATACTCTCTACTGAATGGAAGCAAACACATTCAGGAGGATTTATTCAAGATCCACCACCCCAGTGGCTCAGAACTGGAAAGTGGCAAGGACACACATACTAAATTAGCAGAACAAGAGGGAATAAAATGCAGTGGAGAGTCCAGAGAAATACCAACACCATAGACAGTGCAAAACCTTATTCAAAACCTTAGCACTAAAATCCAAGGTCATCTAAGGAAGGTTTATTCTGAAAACCTCAATGATGGAAACATCTACAAGTATTAATGCAGTGAATGTGACAGCACTTACACAGGTGAAATGGAACACAATATAAGCATTAGGACCAAAGAACATTATAATCCCCTATCACACATTTACATACACGGTACTACGATGCAACATCCAGTTAAAATATTATACAATGAGAACAACATTAATAGAAGAAAAATAAAAGGATTAACTATTTGTGAAATAAAAACTAATTTAAATGAAAACAGGTGTCACCCTGTATGTTATCTGAATTAGAACAAAATGCTCACGTTATATTTCACACAACAGATGACAGTTACCTGATAATAACCACATGAATGGTCAGAACAATAATATAAAGTTAAACAAAAAATAAAAACAGACAATCCACTCAAAACCTGCATATCTGGACTTTTATTTAGTGTAAAGTGGATTTCCTCTCCTCACAACAAATAACATGCATATCCCAGTTTTTTTTTTTTACAGATGATTTTGAATTGTATTTTCTACTCAACAAAGCTTTACTAAGCTGTATTAATAACATGGCAGATCTCTGTTAAATGTGTTCTGAAGATAGACAAACAATTTTCATAATCACAAAATCCAAAAAATGTATTTCAGTATCACTTTTCCTAATGAAGATGTGGACCATTTTTAAACATCCTAAAGACTGCTGTTATAACACAAGTTAATAACAATTGCAGTGGCAAAGACATTTGTCTTAGTTTCATCGAAAACAAACTGCTTAACACTAAACCTTTCCATTATTTCCTTTTGTACAATTTTTATTTTTGAAACCAAAATCATAAATTAAGAAGCATTTGGTTTGATAAAAATATTTCAACTGTCAAAAACATTTTCATCACAAACAGACAGAACCAAGCTAAATTACCTTCACTAACTGTTTTCTGTGTGTAGTATTATTTGTCTCTCTCTCTCCTTCATTGTAGTGATACATCTTGTGTCTTTCAGATGAAATTCTTTCTTCTTTGTTTGACATAGTAATTTTCTTTCCATTTTTGTACACTCTCTGTGTATTGGTAATTTTCTTGTCTTTCACAGTTTTCACATGAATTTTTTTTTGCTTCTAAATGATAGATAATTAACATTTTAAGATAACTAGCATTAATGTCATGCATAATAAAGCACATAAACCAATATATTAATCATTCATTTAGATTGTATTAACACATTCAATGAGGTCCTTGTGATGTTTGTATACAGTATTAATCATGCATTGTTAAAATGTCATTACCTTGCTGTCTAATCACCATTGCTACAAGAACTTCAGAGCTTTTTGGAAAGCATGAAAAGAATGCTATAAAGCTAGACAGGTCACAAACATAAAAATTGCATTTTACAGGTATTTTGGAGAAAGGTTTTGCTGGTGAATATAATGTGCATTTAGGTAATTTTCCTTTGCCCCTCAACAGTTTTATTGTGCATCACAATAGCACTATCATAGCTTTAAGCTATCAATTTCACTTTATCACTGTCTTGAGAAAAATAAATCAAATAATTAACACTGCAGTTGGAATTGCTTCTACATAAGTCTTTCAAGTGAAACCACAAAAACTTTTCTAGTCCCACCAATACATGAGTAAACTAATACCAGTACTTTTTTGATATACTATGAAAAAATTAGTGCTTAAAGCAGGCACAAAGGCTGAATAATGATGCATGGAATAATGGAAAAGGACCTCGCTTCTATTTTGTTGGTTTAAAGAACATGAGGTAATGATTAAGAAGGACAGACAGAGGCATTCTTATTGTGATGGTAAAGGTGAAATTCTTGGACTGTCTGAAGACGAACTACTGGAAAAGTATTTGCCAAGAATATTTTAAGTTGTATCTTTCGTTGGAAAGGTTACTGCTTATGTAGATAAGGGTGAGGGTGTAGATTTGTTGTATCTGGATTTTAAGAAAGCTTTAGACAAGGTGCCACAAAAAAGGCTTGTAAAAGAAATTATCTATAGGTGTGGGGGATAACTTAGCTATTTGGATAGAAGAAAGCAGAGGGTTAATATAAATGGAGATCAATCAAACTGAATGAATGTAACAAGTAGGGTATCTCAGGGAGCAGACTTAGAGCCTTTGCTCATTTTAATTACATCAATGACATGGATGAAGGAATGGGTGTTGCTAGCTGTAAAGAGGATGCTGCTGGTTTAGAAAAATATTTAGATCATTTATTGAGTTGTCAAATAAATGGCAAATAGGTTTTAATTATAGTAAATGCAAGATAATGCATGTGGGTTATTATAATCTGAATTATAAGTATAATTTTGATTGGAATAACTTTAACAGTGTCATGAGAGTAATGGATCTTGGCATAATGGCTGATCATTCTCTTAAGCCATCCATGCAGTGTGCTGTTGCTAGTGGTAGGGTAAATAGGGTTTTAGAAATATTAAATACAAGTCTAAAGAGTTTATAATTTCATTGTATAGGCCATTGGTTAGGCCACAGTTGGAGTATTATGTTCAGTCTTGGGATCCTTACCTTAGGAAGGACATTGAATTGTTGGAAAGGGTTCAGAGGAGGGTTAGTAGAATGGTGCCTGAGATGGAGGATTTGTCATATAAGAAGAGATTAATAATCTTTGAAATTGTTTTCTCTTGAAACAAAAGAAGAGTTAGAGGGGATCTGACTGAAGTTTTTAATATTGTTAAGGGAATGTATAATGTTGATGCATCATCTTTTTTCATATGTAGGACTAGGGGACAAAAATATCAATTTTGCCAAGGTAGCAGTCATCTTCAGTTAAGGCAGTTTCATTTTTCTAACAGGGTGGTTGGCTTTTGGAATGGTTGTCTTCAGAGGTTGTAGAAGCAGTAAATTTAAGTTAGCTTAAGAGAAAGTTTGATAACTATATGAATGATGAGGGCTGGCTTTAAAAATTAAAAAAAAAAGTCTTAGTTTAGTTTTGAGAATGGGACAGCTGAAATGGATCAATAGGTCCAGTGATGTCATCTGCTAGTATTTAGTGCCTAAAAACACCTGGATTTAAAGATAATTCTGTTTCATCATGACCATGTAATTTCACTTCAAAATTCCCCAGATGTTTCTGTATACTGGTACTTAGCATCTTCAATATGTTAGAGACTGTGAATACATTATAGTTAATAGAAGGAATGCCATACTCGTACAATAAATTTGCTAGGACTACAAGTGGCTTATTTCCATGTATTTGTATAATAGTGCATTTGCTAATGAGCAACTAACTTGATATGGATCTACTATAGAAAAGTGAATTATCCTTACACAAAAACAATTTTATTCAGGTAACTTAAAGGGAAGCATTCCAATGTCTTTTATGCATGAGGTGTCACTGCAGTCTTCCTACTAATAGTTTGTTTATGGAGTACACAGGAATGAAAAAGTTTGAAACAAGAACTTCATTACTAGCTTTAAAAATGTAAGTGCAGTCTTCTTTAACATAATTTACATTTGGTTAGTGTTAGGTATTTATGGGTTGATTTATCTTATGATATGGATCTTTGCTTTAAATTTGAGCTGTTTCAAACATTTGATAACTACACGTAGGTACGTTAATTGCATGTGAACAACAAATGCTATAGGAGATACCAGCACTTGACTCAACCTCATCTTAAGCTCACAAGTCAAACTGTAACCTAGAATATCTCATGGACTAAAAAACCTGAACTTTTTAATTTATAAATCTCTTTTTGAAATCATCATCCGTGACTTTGTGGTATTTTTACAATGTATATATATTTCCTGGGCTCCGATTCAAATTAAAAACCTCTCTCACACCAAGCCAATAAATCACTTTTTTTAACAACTCAAAATAACTAAATTCTTCCTCTCTCACAAAAAGGCCAATCCTCAGGCTAATTGTCATGGTCATGGAATAGTCGCTAGTTGGATGTTAATGTATTAAATCATTTTTACAATACATATTTCCTAAATTCATATTCTAACTTCAGACATCTCACACTCCAGGCTAATAAGTCACTTTTTAACAACTCAAACTACAACAAATTTTCCCCCTACTTTTCAGAAGTAAACCAGGCTATCACCCTTGATTTACAAGATCTGGAATGGCTCAATAGCTACACTGATAACCTCAATTTATATCTAAAATAACAAAGCAAGTAGTATTTTCTTTTCATAAATGCTCAGGTTTATGGATAATACATTTTTCAAATCCAATAATGTGGGAGCATTAGATTTACTAGTTGAGCAATGCATCAACAATAGGTTGAATATCCTACTCGTACCTACTGTTCCTTGATGCATATACACGTACATATGTGTGTCATCTTCAATTTATACAAAAAATATAAAATAGTTTTTATACCATATTCTATTGTTAAGTACTAGTTATATTTAATTTAACAACATAAATGATAATTTTATTCTTACTTGAACCCTTAAGTCAGACTAAAACAATTAAGCCTACAAGTTGTATAAAAATATTCAATCAGATTAAATAGTATAGTCTTGAACTATATTGGTGAATAGTATAGTTCTATATTAATTGGTAATAAGGGCTAACTGCCATGCCCAATGCTGACTGCAGAGTTTGGATGTGTAGTTGGATTCAGGATGTCATCTGCTAAAGTGTGTGTCATTTCTTAAATAATTTATTAATTAATTTGCTGTTGTTATGACACTAGCTTTTCATCTGTGATTGGATGAATAACTGGCAATGTGGAGTATCCTCAATATAATTTGGGAGATATTTCCTACATTGCCACATCCAACTCAATGACTTAGGCATTACTGCAACTTTTCAGTCTTCAGCATACTAAACACATTATAAGTCAAAGTCTATAAAAAATAAAACTCTTCACTTGAGACAGTTGATTGATCAACAAATAGATTCTCAGGCTGAATATTCATATGCTGAAAGAAATGTTCAAACTCTTCCAAATAATTCCCAAACAATCACTATTTTTATCTAGAATATTCTAACAAAGCCTTATAATGCTAAATGTTAGGCTGAATATTAATTCATATGCTGAAAGAAATGTCCAAACTCTTCTAAATAATTCCCAAACAATCACTATTTTTATCTAGAATATTCTAACAAAGCCTTATAATGAGAATAAAACCACCAATTTTCTAGACTTTCTTGACATGTCCTCCTTCTGTGTGATATCACACACACTTAACACACTCCCCACCTTGTGTTTGAAGCTTCCACAATATGTAGGAAAACACAAGGAATGATTTTACTTTCAAACATTATGCCTAGGTGCTATTCTAGAAAACCCTAACCCAAGAACAAAGGATTTTACCTATGCAAAAACAAACAAAAAAAACTACATTTGACTTCTCTAAAGTAGGGCACTTACTAAAAAACCTACTTGCCAATTAGTCTGTAAGGTGTAACATGCAAGTCCTTTCACAGTATAGAACCCATTGATTACAACAAAATAAAAAGGAACCTGTATTATGAAACACTAGAATAGATATTGTGGGATGCAATTATTTTGAGAAACTTGCTTTCTCTGACATCTAGGTTAACAAATTTGTCTATTTCTAACAAATTAATTAAAGGAGAATTCCACCCCTATAATTGCATTGGTTAAGGAACATAATTATACCATAACTATAAAACAAGATAATAAATATTGGACTATACGGTGTTATGAGATTCATAGATAACATCACATGTTAGAATCTTACGATGCACTCCAGTTTGTGACATTGAAATGTTGATAGCCTACTCACCCATATGAGTTTACAAACAAGAACAAGTTGCACTGTTTATGAAATACTGAGAAAGCAAATTTTATACTAACGCTTGGTTACAATGAAATAGCATGACAGTACATTGTCTTTTCTGAAATTAAAAAAATAAAATGCTTCTTACATATTTTTTTACTTCTACCATTGGTCACTGAAATAAAAGAAAGTTATGGTCATATACAAACCTACAGACAAAGCAATTTGTATACTTATATTCCAAATGATTTTGTAACAACAGTAATCTAAAATACCTTTTCTTTCTTCTGGTGTCCAGATATTCTCCTCTCAATATCTTATAGAAGGGGTAATGCCAATACTTTTTGAGAATTGCCCCTCTCCACCATGTTGGTTGTCAAGGTTTAGCAC